TTGTTTTTTGTTTTGTTTTTTTTCGACGCCGAGAGGTCTGGGCCAGGAAGGGAAAAAAGGAGTTAGAAAGGAATTTAATAAGGAATTTCAAGAGTTAGAAAGGAAATTCGTTTTTTTGAGGTTGTTTTTTTTGTTTTGTTTTGTTACGGCGCCGGGGGGGTTGGGCCAGGAAGGAAAAAAGGAGTTATAAAGGAATTATATAACGCATTTCAAGAGTTAGAAAGGAATTTTGTTTTTGGTGTTGTTTTTTTGTTGTCTTGTTTTTTTTAACGACGCCGAGAGGTCTGGGCCAGGAAGGAAAAAGGAGTTCGAAAGGAATTTAACAAGGATTTTCCAGAGATAGAATGAAATTCTGGATACCAGAGAGAATTCTGAATCGCAGGCCCACTCGCGTCAGAATTCCCCAAGAAACGCTGGGGCCAGGAACGGGAAACGGAGTTAGAAAGGAATTCGATAAGGAATTTCCCGGGTTAGAAAGGAATTTTAATACCAGAGAGAATTCTGAATTTCAAAGATTATTGAATCAGAGTTCCCCAAGAAACTCTGGGGCCAGGAAGGGAAAAAGGAGTTATAAAGGAATGTGATACGGAATTTCCCGAGTTAGAAAGGAATTTTGAATACCAGAGAGTATTCAGAATTTCAGAGACTATCGAATCAGAATTCCCCAAGAAACGCTGGGGCCAGGAAGGGGAAACACAGTTAGAAAGGAATGTGGCACGTTCTTTCCTGGGTTACAAAGGAATTTTGAATACCAGAGATAATTCTGAACCTCAGAGAGTATCGAATCATAATTGTCCGAGAAAGGAATTTGATAAGGAAATTCAAGAGTTAGCAAGCAAGGAATTTCGTTTTTTTTTGCTTTTTTAAGACGCCGAGAGGTTTGGGCCAGGAAGGAAAAATGAGTTAGCAAGGGATTTAATAAGGAATTTCAAGAGTTAGAAAGGAATTTCGTTTTTTGGGGTTGTTTTTCGCTTCGTTTATTTTTACGACGCCGAGAGGTTTCGGCCAGGACGGAAAAAGGAGTTAGAAAGGAATTTAATTAGGAATTTCAAGGGTTAGAAAGGAATTGTGTTTTTTCTGTGTTGTTTTTTTTTTTGATTTGTTTTTTTAGGTACGACGCCGAGAGGTCTGGGCCAGGAAGGAAAAAGGAATTATCAAGGAATTCAATAAGGAATTTCAAGAGTTAGAAAGGATTTTGTTTTTTTGGGGGTTGTTTTTTTGTTGTTCTGTTTTTTTTTTTTACGACGCCGAGAGGTCTGGGCCAGGAAGGAAAAAGGAGTTGGAACGGAATTTAATACGGAATTTCAAGGGTTAGACAGGAATTTCGTGTTTTGGGGGTCCTTTTTTTTACGACGCCGAGAGGTCTGGGCCAGGAAGGAAAAGGGTGTTAGAACGGAATTTAATAAGGAATTTCAAGGGTTAGAAAGGAATTTTGTTTTTTTGGTTGTTTTTTTTCGGGGGTCTGTTTTTTTTTACGGCGCCGAGAGGTCTGGGCCAGGAAGGAAAAATAGAGTTAGAAAGGAATTTACTACGGAATTTCAAGAGTTAGAACGGATTTTTTTTTTTTTTTTTCTGGGGTTGTTTTTTTGTTCTGTTTTTAACGGCGCCGAGAGGTCTGGGCCAGGAAGGAAAAAGGAGTCAGAAAGGAATTTAATAAGGAATTTCAAGAGTTTGAAAAGCATTTTATTTTTTGTGGTTGTTTTTTGTTTTGTTTTTTTTGGACGCCGAGATGTCTGGGCCAGGAAGGAAAAAAAAGGAGTTAGAAAGGACTTTAATAAGGAATTTCAAGAGTTAGAAAGGAAATTCGTTTTTTGAGGTTGTTGCTTGTTTTGTTTTGTTACGGCGCCGGGGGATTGGGCCAGGAAGGAAAAAAAGGAGTTAGACAGGAATTATATAACGCATTTCAAGAGTTAGAGAGGAATTTCGTTTTTTTTTTTTTTACGACGCCGAGAGGTCTGGGCCAGGAAGGAAAAAGGAGTTAGAAAGGAATTTAACAAGAATTTTCCAGATATAGAAAGGAATTCTGGATACCAGAGAGAATTCTGAATCGCAGGCCCACTCGCGTCAGAATTCCCCAAGAAACGCTGGGGCCTGGAGTTAGAAAGGAATTCGATAAGGAATTTCCCGGGTTAGAAAGGAATTTTAATACCAGAGAGAATTCTGAATTTCAAGGACTATTGAATCAGAGTTCCCCAAGAAACTCTGGGGCCAGGCAGGGAAAAAAGGAGTTAGAAAGGAATTTGATTCGGAATTTCCCGAGTTAGAAAGGAATTTTGAGTACCAGAGAGCATTCAGAATTTCAGAGACTATCGAATCAGAATTCCCCAAGAAACGCTGGGGCCAGGAAGGGGAAACACAGTCAGAAAGGAATGTGGTACGTTCTTTCCTGGGTTACAAAGGAATTTTGAATACCAGAAATAATTCTGAACCTCGGAGAGCATCGAATCATAATTGCCCGAGAAAGCCGGGGTCAGGAAGGGAAAAAGGAGTTAGAAAGGAATTTGATGAGAATTTTTCCTGAGTTAGGAAGGAATTGTGAATACCTGAGAGAGTTCTGAACTTCAGAGACAATCGAATCATAATTCCCCAAGAAACGCTGGTGCCAGGAAGGGGAAACGGAGTTATAAAGGAATTTTATAGGGAATTTCCAGAGTTAGAAAGGAATGTTGAATACCAGAGATAATTCCAAATCTCAGAGCCAATCGCGTCAGAATTCCCCAGGAAACGCTGGGGCCAGGAAGGGAAAAAGGAGTTAGAAAGGAATTTGATAAGGGATTTCCAGAGTTAGAAAGGAATTCTAAATACCAGAGAGAATTCTGACTTCAGAGACTATCAATCAGAATTCCCCAAGAAGCGCCGGGGCCAGGACAGGGAAACGGAGTTAGAAAGGAATTTGATACGGAATTTCCAGAGTTAGAAAGGAATTTTGAATACCAGAGAGAATTCTGAACCTCAGAGACAATCGAGTCCGAATTGCCAGAGAAAGCCAGGGCCAGGAAGGGAGAAAGGAGTTAGAAAGGAATTTGATATGGAAATTCTAAAGGTAGAAAGGATTTTTGAATGCCAGAGAGAATTCTGAATTTCAGAGACTATCGAATCAGAATTCCCCAAGAAACGCTGGGGCCAGGAAGGGAAAACGGAGTTAGAAAGGAATGTGATAAGGACTTTCCTGGATTACAAAGGAATTTTGAATACCAGAAATAATTCTGAACCTCGGAGAGTATCGAATCATAATTGCCCGAGAAAGCCGGGGTCAGGAAGGGAAAAAGGAGTTAGAAAGGAATTTGATAAATGAGCTCCGGAGTTAGAAAGGAGTTTTGAATACCTGAGAGAGTTCTGAACTTCAGAAACAATCGAATCATATTCCCCAAGAAACGCTGGGGCCAGGAAGGGGAAACGGAGTTAGAAAGGAATTTAATAGGGAATTTCCAGAGTTAGAAAGGAATTTTGAATACCAGAGATACTTTTAAATCTCAGAGCCAATCGCGTCAGAATTGCCAGAGAAAGCAAGGGCCTGAATTGCATGAGTTAGAAAGGGATTTCGTTTTGGCGGGTTGTTTTTTGTTTCGTTTTTTTTACGACGCCGAGAGGTCTGGGCCAGGAAGGAAAAAAGGAGTTAGAAGGAATGTGATGAGGAATTTCCAAAGTTAAAAAGGACTTCTGGATACCAGAGAGGGTTCTGAATCTCAGAAACTATCTGATCATAATTGCCCAATAAGCGCCTGGGCCAGGAAGGAGAAACGGAGTTAGAAAGGAATTATATTAAGAAATTGCCAGAGTTAGAAAGGAATTTTGAATACCAGAGAGAATTCTGCATCGCAGGCCCACTCGCGTCAGAATTCCCCAAGAACCGCTGGGGCCAGGAAGGGGAAACGGAGTTATAAAAGGAATTCGGTAAGGAATTTCCAGAGTTAGGAATTTGGAAACCCAGAGAGAATTCTGAATTTCAAAGCTGATTTTCAAAGACTATTGAACCAGAATCCCCAAAAAACTCTGGGGCCAGGAAGGGAAAAAGGAGTTAGAAAGGAATGTGATAAGGAATTTGCAGAGTTAGAAAGGAACTTCGAATACCAGAGAGCATTTGAATTTCAGAGAATATCGAATCATAATTTCCAAAGAAACGCTGGGGACAGGAAGGGGAAACACAGTTAGAAAGGAGTTCGATAAGGAATTTCCTGGGTTAGAAAGGAATTTTGAATACCAGAGATAATTCTGAACCTCAGAGAGCATCGAATCATAATTGCCCGAGAAAGCCAGGGCCAGGAAGGGAACAAGAGTTAGAAAGGCATTTAATAATGAATTTCTAGAGATCGGAAAATATTTACAATACCAGAGAGAATTCGGAATTTCAGAGACTATCGAATCAGAATTCCCCAAGAAACGCTGGGGCCAGGAAGGGGAACACAGTTAGAAAGGAAGTCTACAAGGAATTTCCAGAGTTAGAAAGGGATTTGGGATACCAGAGATAACTCAGAGACGCTCGAGTCCGAATTGCCCGAGGAAGCCATGGCCAGGAAGGAAAAAGGAATTCTGAATACCAGAGAGCATTCTGAATTTCAGAGAATATCGAATCAGAATTCCCCAAGAAACGCTGGGGCCAGGAAGGGGAAACACAGTTAGAAAGGAATTCGAAAAGGAATGTCCTGAGTTGGAAAGGAATTTTGAATACCAGAAATAATTCTGAACCTCAGAGAGTATCGAATCCGAATTGCCCGAGGAAGCCAGGGCCAGGAAGGGAACAATAAGTTAGAAAGGAAGTTGATGAGGAATTTCAAGGGTTGAAAAGAAATTCTGAATGCCAGAGAGAATTCTGAATTGCAGGGACTATCGAATCAGAATTCCCCAAGAAACGCTGAGGCCAGGAAAGGGGAAACGGAGTTAGAAAGGAGTTCGATAAGGAATTTCCTGAGTTAGAAAGGAATTTGGAACAACAGAGGTAATTCTGAACCTCCGCATACAGAGCGCAGGGGGCATGCGCCCACCGCATCATCAACGCATCTAGGCTCAAGCCGTTTTGGCGCGCGCGATTCAGCCTTGAGCCGTCGAGTGCCCCTAGGCTTGGGCGTTTGCAGGGGCGCCCGCCATGCTGGCATACATGGCCCCAGCCCGCGTGGCGCGGGCCAGCGATCCAGCCGCCCGCGCCGCACGGGAGAGAGCCGCCGCAGAGTGGAAACGAGCCGAGGCAGAGAGACTCGGGATACCTTGGCCCCGCCCGCGGGTGCACAAGCGCGTTGGGCGCCCCAGCAGGCAGGAGCATTTCCACGATGCAATTTATTTTGCGTTGGGGAAACAGTCTCTCCCTGAAGGCCTGGAGACCGCTGATGTGCCTGGCTGGTGGGAGCGAGGCATGGGCCTGGTTCGAACTGTCGCCGTTGCGACGGAGGACATGCAACAGGCGGCCCTTGGCGGCCCTCGCCAGGGTGACGTCGAGGCGGATCCCTGGCAGTTGCTGGAGATGCCAGGGGAAGGCCGCGAGGGCAGCCACGCTAGCGAACGCGGACATGCAGAGGAGGAGGGGGGTGCCCTGGCAGGCGGAGGCGACATGGAGACACCCCCCAAGAAGAAACGTAAGCAGAAGGTGCTGGTGCCAGACGAGGCTAAGGCGTGGTTCCTGGAGTACGTCGAGTACCAGAAGAAAAGGTACGACTGGTCAATGGCGAGGTCGCTGCGCATGGCCAAGGAGCTGGCGCCCGACATCTTCCGATATGTCCAGAAAGACACCCCTTTCCGGTGGGGCGAGAAGCGTAGCGTGGCGAATACGATGAATGGGAAGTTGTCCGACGTCGCCCTCACGAAGCTGGCGGAGATTGCCCATGCTACCGCGGTTCGCGTCCCCGTGGCGGTGCCAGTCTATAGGCAGATTTTCATTGAACAACTTCGAGTGATGGGTATCGACATAAAGGTTGAGGACGAAAAGACGGGTTCATGGGCCCTCGCTGGGTGCGGGAGTTCCTTTGCAGCCTCGGGCTGAAGTGGGGGCAATGCCATTCGGGCGGGCGGAAACAGGCGGACATCGACGCCATTCCTGAGGCCAGGGAGAACTTTCGATTGAAGATCGTGTACATCCGCCACGCCCACGACATCGCCGCCGACAGGGTCGTCAACATCGACCAGACATCCGCGCGCGTCTTGCCGACGTCAAAACGCGGCTGGAAGGTGAGCGCCGGACCCTCGTACTCATAATCTTGTTTGATGCTTCCTCGACGGACATGATGAAGCGGCGTCCGAGTTGCTGTTCTGCCAGGTGGTCTCCGCGATGTGTGGCGTCGTGCGGCGTGCTGCCGCCCCGTCCACGGTTTGGGACCCGCGGGCCGCGCCCCCGGAGAGTGCAGCCGGCCCCGCGGCCAGCATCGCTGTAGCAACTCCGTGGGGTGGTGACTCGGCCCCCACAGCGCAGCCATGCAATCCAGGAGGGAAGGGAGGGGAGAGGGGGGAACCCCCTTCTCGAGGAACCCCCTTCTCCAGGAGGGGAGGGAGGAGAGAGGGGAGAGGAGAGAAGGTGGATCGTTGCGAGGGTATCCCTGTCGAGGGCGCCTCTGGGATACGGTCACGGCGTCCAGGGTGCGAGGGCTTTCCCGGCATCTCTGAGGAGTCCGGTGGGGCAGGACGAGGGCAGCGAGAGAAGGACACCAGGGCGGAGGAGGAACAGGAGGAGGAGGAGGAGGGGGCGGTGGAGGAGCACGAGGAGAAGCACGGCGACGAGGAGTCGCACTGCGAGGATGAGCAGGACGTGGAAGAGGAGGATCACGATCAGGCGCACGGCGACGAGGAGGGAAAGGAGGAAGCGGAAAGGGGGAGGGGGATGAGTGGGTGCAGTAGGAGCGAGGGAGAGGGAGGAGGGAGATGAGGACGAGAGCAGGATATGGACGGGAGAGGGGTGAAATGAGGAGGTTTAGGAGGAGGGCAGGAAGGAGGACGATGACCGGGAGGATGGGCAGGAGGACGAGGAGGAAGGGGGAGGACGACGACGAGCGCGACGACGAGTGCGCAGGCAGATCAGGAACAGGAGGACGACGACGATTCGGAGGACTCGTGAACCGGCTTATGAGCCACCCTGTTGCTGAAAACGCTGTTTGTGGATTCCACATTCCACATATCATTGTCATATCCGAACGGATCGAAGCATGTAGCCGATCACGACATGTTGATTGGAAGATTTGTTTGGGCGAGTCGGTCCAGAACTGTAATCCAATGTTTCAGCATTCGTACCAGTAATCCAACCTTCGAGATTTATATCGGCCGCCATGCATCTGTATTATGATACTCGCATCGCCTGGTTCAGATCCCCGCTTGTTGTCCTGGCCAAAGTTCTCGGTGTGCTTCTGCAAACGTTTGCCGTTCTCATGGCGAAGTTGCGTTCAAGAGGTAATTCCTGTATGGCTCGGACAGGAAAGCGATGTGCAACGAGTTTGGATTGGGCGTTGGAGGCAACATTTTGTGAGCCCAGAGCTCGAGCATATGATTGAGTTTACCCAGCTCGGCAAATCGATCGTGGTCGGGAAACCAGATGTTATTTCCAGACTAATCCGAATGATATCGAGCAGACGCGGCCCAATTATCACGTTTGCCCGTTGATTCGGTTCTGTTCTCAGGCCAGGTTTTCATGGGCATCATGGTTTTGACGGAGGCGATATACTAATACTAATGACTTATACTTGCATTGCATGGTATCGCGAAGGTGTGCACCCTGCTATACTCTAAACAGCTCCACCTTGTCCAACATTCGTATGGGATGCGGATTCATCATGTACCAGATGCTGCGACATTTCGGTCGTACACAGCCGCTCATCTAAACGAATTGCCGAAGCCGTGGCGTGGATCTAATTCAGAGCAGTTACGTCCCAATAGCGACCTATAGGCAGGTGTACATTCTGAATACCTTGATGTGTAAGCCATCTGCCCAAACTGGTGTCATCAAGACACCAAGCTGTTCAATCACATTCCGCGATTCGGAAAGTCTCAGAAGCTCGTCGTTTGCAGTGATGTGTTACCGATCTAGAAGCATCGTGTGCCTGTAATGCCCGAGAAGAGTGCCCAGTGTTTCGAGAAGGTGATCGGTATCATCACGCACCGATGTTGCCCACACAGTCGGAATCGTCAAGTGTGGCCAGTGGGAACCCCGGATCGCATGGAACGTGAAATCTGTTCCAGACCCGAATGGTATCGCATCCAATGCAATCAGCGTAGCCGTAATTGCGGCTCTGACGTGGAACGCAGTCACGAACATACGAAGACGTGTTCTGTCTTGCTGTCCATATCGAGACCACTTCGGAGAACGCCGTTGTGGGGACGTGAGCGGGTGTGGCGGTTGACCTCCAGATGTTGCCAGCGGTACGTAGTGGAAGATTGGGAATGGGGCCGCGGGGCCAACACGTCGTCGGCAGTGTGGTTTGCACCTTGGTGTCAGTGACAATCGGAAGCTGGAGGAGGCGCAGGATGCTCGGACGGAGCGGAGAGGGGGACAGAGATGGCGGATGGGGGCGTTCCGTGCTTATCTCTGCCAGGACAGCGTTGCCAGTCGGCGGCGAGCGAGGGGGGGAGATGAGAAGAAAGAAAAAGAAGAAGGCCTTCTCAGAAGGCGGCCGGACTTCTCAGAAGCCCTCGCGCCTTTTGAGAGGTTTTTTGGGTGCCTTCGGGGAAGGCTTAGAGAACTTCTCAGGAGGCTGAGGGACTCCCGAGCCTCCCGAGAGGGCCCGCCCCTTCTCAGTTCCCCCCCCCTCGCTCGCCGCCAATCCAGGGATGGCCGCTGCGTGGGCCAGACTCCTGCAGGCCTCTGCGGCGCAGCGACATTATAGCGCCTGGCCGTGGGCGGGCTGCGGCCGCGCCGCCTCGCGCGCCCAGCTGGCGGGCGCGTGCTGGCCCGTGTTTCCGGGAGGCCACGGCGAGGCTGCGCCGCTCGAGTCCACGGCTCGACCGGAGGAGGAGGAGGAAGAGGGAGGAGGAAGAGTCGGAGGAGGAGGAGGAGGAGGAGGAGGGCGGAGGAGGAGGAGGAGGAGGAGGAGGAGGGCGGCGGAGGAGGAGGAGGAGGACGGCGGAGGAGGCGGCGAGTCCGTGTTCTCGCGACCGCGTGCGAGTCGAAGGCTCGACCGGCCGCCGATGCCGTCGGCGACTTCCGCGCAGCTGGCTCAGGCAGGCGTCGGCGCAGCTCGCGGCCTCGACAGCCCCCCCCTCCCTCCCTCCAGCCAACCTCCTCTCCCCCTCCTCCTCCTCCTCCTCCTCCTCCTCCTCCTCCTCCTGCTCCTCCTCCTCCTTCTCCTCCGGTTTCTCCTCCCCCTCCTCCGCCTGTCGCTTCCCTCTCCTCGTCCCTCCCCCGCTGGCGCAGATGCTTCGTCGCGAGTCGTCGTGCGGTGGCTCTGGGGCCCGAAAGCGCACCCCGGACGACCAGACTAGAAGGGCGCATGTGGTGAAGCTCTGGCGGCGTCTGGAGGTCTGGGCTTCCCCCCACTCGGAAACAGGACCCCCGAGCCCCGCCCGGGTGCGCTCTGAGCGTGCGTCCGAGGCGGATCCAGTCGCCGCGACGACCCCGCGCAGAGGAGCCTAAGAGCACGTGAAAGACACATCGGAGGAGAGAACGGTACTGGTACCTTTACCCTTCGCCCGTTTTCGATGTTTTGGGACATCTTGGAAGGCCCTCCTCGCCACTGTTGGATTCACCTCGAAATCTTGGTCAGAACGCACCCCTGGAAAGGTCCGGGGAGTAGTGGTTTCGGTAACTCCGTTTTTCCCCCACGGAGGAGTGCGTCCGATTTGGACACATACGGCCATTTTGTAGCATATCGTTTCCTGAGCGGTATGGCCTGAGCTCCCTGAAAGCGCCAGCCATGGTGTTTATACTGAAAGGCATCTTGGCTCGCGCGTCGCCCTTGGGGAGAGGCCGATCCGAAGCGAATCCAGTCGCCGCCACGACCCCGCCCAGGAGCCCAACAACATGTGAAAGACATACAGTTTTTCTCTCCCCTCCCCTCGTTCCGTGATGCCCAGGCCCGAACCGAACCACACCCCTGGGTCGGTGTTGGAGGTCGCCGCGGCGATCGCGGCGTGCCCAAATCGGGCCATGCTTGTCCAGGAGTGGCACGCCCCTTCCCAGGCACCCCTTGCTCTGCGGCGCAGACGTGGCTCATGAGACAGGATGCAGCGACGGAGAGCTGTCCGTAGATGTTCCGCGTGCGCGGGCAGTCATGTTTCTTGTTGGTCAGGGATCGAATCTCATGCAACCCTTTCCGTCCCACCGCCCGCTCAAGATTGCAGGACCTAAATTTGGGCTTCCGGCGGCCGTTCAGGGCGGCTACCGCGCGGCCGTGCTCCTCCCGGGATCTGTTGCAAGACCTCCAAAGGTTCCCCTTCCGCCTCGTTCCTCCTCGTTCCTCCTCCCTCCTCTCAGAGGAGGAAAAGGTACCCATGCCCTTCACCCGTTTCTCCCTTTTGCGGACTCCTGGGAGTTCCTCGTCGCCACCGCTGGCTTCGCATCGAAATCCTGGTCAGAACGCACCCCAGGAGAGGTCCGGGGAGTAGCCGTATCGGTACCTTCTGGTCTCCCCATCTTCGTATGTTTCTTCCTTTTTCTGCTGTTCTCTTGGCCTCCCAGATGGGGTCGGAGTGAGCAGATGGTGTCGGAGTCAGCAGATGGGGTCGGAGGATCGCGCTGCCTCGTTGATGCATCGTCGATGCGGCTCGAAGTGGAGCTCGATTTTCTCCACGCCGACGTCGCCGACGCACCGCCGACATCATCGACGCATCGACGGCGCATCCGCGACGCTGCGCGATCCTCATCCTCCATCCTCCTCCTCATTTTCCTTCTCCCCTCTCCTCGATTCTTCCCGTACACCTTCCCCTCACCTGCGCCAGCGCTGCCTCGGACTACCGTCAGGCGGGAGCGACCATTGGCCCGGGCGCTCCGCGGAGCGCCCGGCGAAGGACGGCGAGGCCGAGGTCAAGCTCGGCCGCTTTCAAGCGACGCCGCCCTCGGCTGCGTGCGAAGCACCAGAGGGGCAATGCCCCGAACTCTCTCCGCGCGGTCCTGGGAGGTCGCCGAACGAGGCGTTCCACAGGGAGACGCAGACATAATTAGGAGGAGGAGGAGAAGGAGGAGGAGGAGGAGGAGGAGGAGGAGGAGGAGGATGGAGGAGGATGAGGGAGGAGGAGGAGGAGGAGGAGAGGAGGAGGAGGAGGAGGAGGAGGAGGAGGAAGGAGGGAGGAGGAGGAGGAGGAGAGGAAAAGGAGAAGGAGGGGAGGAGGAAGAGGAGGAGGGAGGGAGGAGGGAGGAGGGAGGGGAGGGAGGGAGGAGGGAGGGAGGAGAGGAGGGAGGAGGGAGGAGGGAGGAGGAGGAGCAGAGGAGGAGGAGGAGGAGGAGCAGGAGGAGGTGGAGGATTGGTGCGGACCTCGGAGTTTTAATGTTTTTGTCATTGTTCGTTCGCCGAATGCCGATGTTATCAGAAATCGGAGGCCCCCTTCCCCCGTGGGAACCTGAAGGGCTCCTGCAAGATCCCCAGGGCATTATTCCGTGCAATCGGGGCGCTTTATGAGAGGAGCAATCGGGGCTTTTTATGAGGGGAGCCTTCCAGATTTTCGGAGGAATGGTGACCCTATGGCTCCCCGAAGATTTCCACGGGAACCGTGAGTATTCCCCAATCGATCTTGATGAGAGTTCTGCTACAAACCCGAGGACATTGTACGGAATGCCCCAGGATGTGTTCGGACTCAGCAGGGATCTTCAGGAGCCCGTCGGATTTCCAACGGGATCCAACATATTCATTGAGAAGGATCCTGGGATTAGTCGCATTCTGCGACGGACTCTTACTGCCCATTGCTTCGAGGATCTACCCGTCGCGGACTGCAATTCCCACGCCGGTGCCACGCTCCTTCCACGAAAGACTCGCGCCCGCGCGCGATGCCAGGTCGCACAGCGAAGTGGCCGCCCCCGTCTCGCAGCTTGGCCCCTTGCCAAGTTGCGGAGCAGTATCCCCTGTCGCCGAGGCGGATGGGCTCCCCGCGCGCGGGCCCTCTCCTCCCCCTTCTCCTCCTTTTCCCCCTCCTCCTCCTCCTTCCTCCTTCCTCCTTCCTCCTCCTCCTCCTCCTCCTCCTCCTTCCTCCTCCTCCTCCTCCTCCTCCTCCTCCTTCCTCCTCATCCTCATCCCTCCTCGTCGTCGTCCTCCTCCTCCTCCTCTTCCTCCTCGCCTCTCCTCCTCGCCTCTCCTCCTCCGCCTCCTTCTTCCGCCCGCACGCGCAGCACCCCGTTTCGCAGCAAGGCGCCGCCCTCGTCGCGGAGCAACACTTCCGCTGACCAGCCGTGGGGCGAGGCCCCCGCGGATGCTTTCAGAGGGGCCGCGTGGGCCTGCGATGCGGGGAAGGGCGTTCTCCCGCGGGCGCATGGCGAGGCAGGTTTTGGAGGGGGGCGGGATGCGCGCAGCGCGAGCGCGCAACAGAGCGCCCCGCCCCGCGCAGTCCTGATGAGGGGCTTGGATGCGCGCGCGCGTCTCCTTCCCCTTCTCCCTCCTCCCCTCCCACCACGCTCCCCCCTCCCCCCCTTCTCGGTTCCCTTTCCATCCGTCCTCCTGCTCCTCCATCTTCTCCTCCCTGCCTCTCTCTCTCCCCCCCCCCTCCCCCCTCTCTATCCCCCCCCCGCCACTCCTTCCCCCTCCCCCCTCCTCCTCTCCCCCCCCCCCCCCTGTCTCGTCCTCCTTTCCCCCCCTCCCCCCCCCTGCCCCCCTTCCCCCTGCCCCCCCTTCCACCCTTCTCCCTTTCACCCCCCTCCCCTCCCCAGCCCTCCCGTTCTCCGCCCCCCCCCCCCCTCCCCCTTCCCGCCCCCGCCCCCTCCTCCCCTCTCCTCTCAGCCTCTCAGCCTCCTCCCCTCTCCTTCCCTCCCCCCTTTCCTCCCCAGCCCTCAGCCTCCTCCCCTCTCCTCCCCCCCCCCTTCCTTCCCTCCCCGCCGATGGCCGAGCCGGCGCGCGCCGGGCCCGCTCTCCGGCGACGCCGGGCCCGCGGCGGGGCCGCCCCCGGGCAGGTGTTCGAGGACGCCCCGCCCCCGCCCGCCGGCCGGGGGGGGGGGGGGCTCTTTGGGCCTCGGGGCGCTGCCCGGAGGTCCAACGTGTGGATCTGGACGCCCGAAATGGGCACGGAAAGAATAGGTACGATGCCCAACCGTAGAAAGAGGGGGGGGGGGCTCCGGGCCTCCGGGCGCTGCCGGGAGGTCCAACGTTCGGGCCTCGGGGCGCTGCCCAGACCCTGAGATCCTGGCGTTGCATTTTTGTTGCAGCGGGCGTTTTCGCTTGATTTCGGGCCCGGTGACCCTCACAGATCGATCGGGCTCGAAAAATGGCGCGGAGAGATGATGTCCGGGTCTCCAGGCGTGATTTTTGCGATGTTGCATTTTTGTTGCAACGTCGGATCTCATGGGAGGTCCAACGTTCAGACCGGACGAATGGGGGGGATTGGGAAAGGGGGGGGTACAAAATTTGCTGCATGCAGCTGGTTTCGGCCTCGCCGAGGAGCCCATTTCTCGATACATAGCCGCCTCCCGGCGCCGGGAGGCGCCGGGAAAATCAGCTACGTGAGCTGATTCTCAACCCCCCCCTTTGCTATCCCCCCCTTTCGCCCGACCCGAAGGTCCAACGTGTGGACAAACATCAGGGCAGAGGTTTTTCGCAGATGTCGGCCCCGATAGGGGCTCTCGCCGGGCCTCGGGGCCGTGAAAAAAACGACGCAGGATGGAAAACTGGTGCTGGGGAAGGGCTCGAGACTTCCGGGGATCCCGCATTGGAAAAATCACGACATCGGATATCTGGGCACGTTCGAAGAAGGCAAAAACTCATAAACATTATCTTTCGGCGCTCCGCGCGGACTTCTCGGATCCGCGCTGGGGCCCCCGAGGCGCCGGCAACCCCCGATGGTTGCTGATGGCTGGGGCATGCGTCGAAGAAGAAAAAGCGCCATAAACATAAACGTTCGTCGCTCCGCGCGGATTTCTCGGATCCGCGCTGGGGCCTCCTGGCGGCTCCTCGGGCGCCGCCCCTGGCGCGCTCCGCGCGCCAGGGAGGGGGGGCCCAACGCAGATCCAAGCAATCCGCGCGGACTGTCGAAAGTTTATGTTCATGTGTTTTTGTTATGCTACTTCTATACGTACCCGTGCGTGCCCTCTAGGCCTCCTAGATGGGGTCGGAGGATCGCGCCGCATCGCCGATGCATCCGCAATGCATCGGCGATGCGGCTCGATGTTGGGCCGGATTTTCTCCACGCCGACGTCGCCGATGCATCGCCGATGCATCGCCGATGCATCGCCGACGTCGCCAGTGCATGGCCGATGCATCGCCAGTCCATCGGCGATGTTCGCCGAGGCGGAGAGATCCTCCGACCCCATCTGCTTGGACCCCATCTAGGAGGTCTCTATCCCCGTCGGCCGTTGAACGTGTGTAGTTTGGGGGGTTCCCAGAGCCCAGTCTACCTCACGCGCCTTCCTACTCCTAGAATCCGATGCGCCTTCCTACTCCTAGAATCCGATGTGCTGTTGCCGTGTTTTGCTATTCTCTCGGGGGGGGCCGAACCCGATCTACTTTATCCGCCTCCCGGCCCACGTGTAACGGGGGTGCGATGAATGGGGGCCGGGAGAAGGCACCTCCTTGTACCCTGAGATGGCCCTAAAGGGGCCCCCCTGGGCCCAACAGGGGCACGGAAGGGGCACGTTTCTCCTCCCCCCTCCCTCTTTTATCGCCCCTCCGTTGGTTCACGCCCACTGGGAGTCGAGGGTCGATGTGGTGTAAGGCTCCAGGCTGCGCGCAGGCAGCCCCCCCCCCCCCCAGGTAGTCCCGGCTGGGCTCAACAGGCCCCCCATGGGTAGTCCCAGCTGGCCCCCACTCAGTCTGGGGAGGTCTCAACACTGGCGCTGCCTCCAGCGGCGCCCCTCCTAGGGCGTTCGGCGCCCTAGGGTCGGGATGTTGAGACCGCCCTGGAACTCTCGGGGGCCTGTTGAGGCCAGCTGGGACTCTTCGGGCCCCTGTTGAGGCCAGCTGCGACTTCGGGGGGGGGGTCTGCGCGCAGCCCGAAGCCTTGGAAGGGAGGGTCGGGGGTTGGGGATCGAGGGAGGACGATCGATACTTATGACCCCAAATCCTGGGTCGAGACTCGGGCCACCGAGGAACCAGCGACGAGGGAGGCCTTTGTGGAGCCGAGGACCTCCGGACGGCGACGACGCCTCAGCCCCGAGGTCCGAGGACTCCCCCGAGGCCCTCGTCGAGGCTCCCCGAGAGATCTCCCGAGAGGTCCGCGGGTGCCCCGTAGGCCCCCCGACAGGCCCGAGGTTTTCCCCGTGACCGCTGCGCCACGCCAGGACTTCCGGACGGCGGCGGTCACGGCGGCGGCCACGGCGATGGCGCGGCGACGACGACGGCGACGACGGCGGGGGCGACGGCGACGGCGGCGGCGGCGACGACGGCGGCGGCCGTGATGACGACGGCGACGACGGCGACGGCGACAGGCACGACAACGACTCACTTACGACCTGCACCCTCCGGCGACGACGCCAGCGACGCCGGCGACGGCGAGGATGACGACCTCCGACGGCGACGACGACGACCCCCGAAGGGCCGCACGAGCACGCCGCCGCCGCCGTCGTCGCCGCCGCCGCCGCCGTCGTCGTCGGCGTCGGCGTCGTCGTCGGCGTCGGCGTCGCCGTCGCCGTCGGCGTCGTCGTCGGCGTCGGCGTCGGCGTCGTCGTCGTCGGCGTCGGCGTCGGCGTCGCCGTCGCCGTCGTCGTTGTTGTCGTCCTCGTCGCAGCCGCCGCCGCCGCCGCCGCCGTCGAGAAGGACCTCACGAACACGCCGTCCCCGCTGGACCGGCCAGAGCCCGCGCTGGCGGAGGCCGCCGCAGGGGCCGTCGGAGGCCATGCCCGCGGGCCGCCCCTCTGCCGCCGCTGGCCGGGGGGGGCAGCCCGCACAGACCTGCTGGCCGTGGCGGGCTTCGCTTGCGCGGAGCATTCTCCCCCCCATGGTGCCCGGGCCCTCGCGGGAGAAGGAGGAGGAGGAGGAGGTGAACATGTTGTGTTTGTCGTCCCAACTCCGCCTACAGGAGGACATGCCTGGCCTAATGCCAGAATTCAGCCGCGCCCATGTCACCACGTCACGCACTTGCGGTACAGCCAAGACGCTGAGAGGAGGTACGGTTTGCGTTCGGCAGGGGCTCACTCCGTGGTGCTTCCTCCGGCCCTCTTTTCGTGCACCCGGGCGCTTCCCGGCGCCGAGCAGGGGCTTCGCTCTTAATGCAGCCTTCCTTCTTCCAGCAGCCCTTCTGTGCACCGATCCTGGCCCCAGGAGGGCGCCTGCCAGTACCGGTGAGGGAGGAGGAGGAGGAGGAGGAGGAGGAGGAGGAAGAGGAGGAGGAGGAGGAGGAGGAGGAGGAGGAGGAGGAGAAGGAGGAGGAGACGGAGGCGGAGGCGGAGGCGGAGGCGGAGGCGGAGGCGGAGCCGGCCGAGCGTGGCGAGGGTCCCCTCGGATTCTGCGGCGCAGGGCGGCGCAGGCGTCGCGATGCGGGTCTGCCTCACCACTGCGCCGACGGCGGCCAGCGGGCCGCAGGCCTCCGCCGCGGCAGCCTCCGCGTCGCGCCCCCCTCGCCAGGGCGTCGCCAGCCGCAGCGGCGGCGGCTCCAGCTGCAGGACGCCCCAATGCTGCCCGACTACTCGATGCAGCCCGACGGCGTGGCCTCTACGGCAGGCTCGCGGCTGCCTCGGCCTTTGCGGCCGTCTTGTCCTTCAAGACGAGCATGAGAAGCAATGACGAGGAGGAGGAGGACGAGAAGGCCGACGAGAAAGAGGAGTAATGAGGAGAAGATGCTGCCTTCGCAGTTGCGCATGCCCGTCGCAGATGTACACAACAATCAAGGCCAAACATTACTCTCACAGTGAAGGTGTCAAGAGTCGCTCGTCACCCTCGCCCAGCTGTTGCCGCAATGTGATTTCGTTTCCCTCCTGCCCAGCATCACGCGAATGGCGTCCAGTCAGGCGTCGGATTGAGATTCTCACGAAGCGGTCTACTTCGGGCCTCGAGCTCTGGGGCTTGAAGTGAGTCGTGCCAATCTTCATCCAGGAGGTGGAGGAGGAAGAGGAGGAGGAGGAGGAGGAGGAGGAGGAGGCGAAGGAGGAGAAGGAGGAGGATGGGGAGGGGGGGGGAGAGGGGGAGGAGGGGAGGAGGGGGGAGGAGGAGGAGGAGGAGAGGAGGAGGAGGAGGAGGAGGAGGAGGAGGGAGAGGAGAGGAGGAGGAGGAGGGGAGGAGGAGGAGAGGAGGAGGGAGGAGGAGAGGGAGGAGGAGGAGGAGGAGGAGGGGAGGAGGAGAGAGGAGGAGGAGGAGGAGAGGAGGAGGAGGAGGGGAGGAGGATGGGGAGGAGGAGGAGGAGGAGGAGGAGGAGGAGGAGGAGGGGAGGAGGAGGAGGAGGGAGGAGGAGGGGGGAGGAGGAGGAAGGAGGAGGAGGAGGGTAGAGTGGGCGGTGCAGAGGCGCCGTCCCGTCAGCCTCGTCATCCATCGCTTCCTCGTCCCCCTCCCCCTCTCCTCCTTCTGCCTCCCCTCCTCGCATTGCCCCTCCTCCTCTTCCTTCCTCCCCTCCTCCTCTCTCTCCTCCTCCTCTTCCTCCCTCCACCTCCTCTTCCTTCTCCTCCTCCTCGCATTGCCCTCCTCCTCCTCCTCCTCCTCCTCCTCCTCCTCCTCCTCCTCATCCTCCTCCTCCTCCTCCTCCTCCTCTTCCTCCGCCCAACCCCTGCTCTTTCTCGCCCCCTCGCGCCCGTGAGCCTCTTATTACACAGCGCTTTAGAAGTTGCAAGCGTCTGCCGGAGCTGCAAGAAGCTCGCCCCAAGCTTGGTTCTTCATCCTTCCTGCTCCTCCCCATCTCCTTCCCAAACCTCCATGGGGCTTCTGGACGGTCAGAAGATGCATCTAAACTAGAACCATCAGGAACTCCCAGAAACACCCTGGAACGCATTCGAAACCTCCTGCCCCCTCCCTCCTCCCCCTCCTCCTTCCCTTCGCCCCCCTCCCGCCTCTCCCCGCGCTCCTGGACGCCCCCCAGCATGCAAGCTCGGGCGTTCCGATACTGCACCGCAAGTGTTCCTGTTCCTGTTCCTGCCCGTCCCCCTTTCGACGACTCCGACTGCGGCCTGAGCTCCGACGCCCCCGGCGATGCGGGCAGCGAGTCCGACAGTGGCGACGTCTTCGGGACTCCAGGTCTCCGACGGCGGCGGCGCGGTCTGCGGCGGAGACCCTCCGACCTGAACGATCCCGACCTCTCCCGACGAGGGAGGGAAGTTGGAGGGGGAGGAGGAGGCAACCTGTAGGAGGAGGAGGAGGAGGAGGAGGAGGAGGAGGAGGAGGAGGAGGAGGAGGAGGAGGAGGAGGAGGAGGAGGAGGAGGAGGAGGAGGAGAGAGAGAGGAGGAGGAGGAGGAGGAGGAGGAGGAGGAGGAGGAGGAGGGGGGGGAGGGGGAGGAGGAGCACTCTGTAGGAGGAGGAGGAGGAGGATGAGGAGGAGGAGGAGGAGGAGGAGGAGAAGGACGACGACGACGAACCCTGCGGCCCGGCCGGCGCATACTCGATGCCCTTCGGGGCCCCGGTGCCTCTTTCAGTTCTTCTCGCCCTGCTGTTCCTGCTGCGCCCGCCGGGCTGAGTCAGTCTGCCATGGGCCCAGATCGGCATTTGACACATATTCCTGCTGCATCCCAACTGGGGGACCGCATGCGAACCCTACCCCTACCCCCCATGATTTCTGAGGGGGAGGGTGGGGGTCATTTCGTTCGAGGGCTCCCGAGCGAAGTGACCCCCACCCTCCCCCTCAAAAATTGTGGGGGGTAGGGGTAGGGTTCGCATGTGGCCTTCTAATATTCATGCTGCATCCCAACGCTTCAGGCTCTGACCTCGAGCTGGCGCACCGTCGGAAAAGGACGACGGCGGCGACGACGAACGACGACGACGACGACGACGAACGACGACGACGACGACGACGACGACGACGACGACGACGACGACGACGACGACGACGGCGGCGGCGGCGACGACGACGACGACGGCGGCGGCGGCGGCGACGACGACGACAACGACGAACGACGACTAACGACGACGACGGCGGCGTCGGCGGCGGCGACAACGACGACGACGGCGGCGGCGGCAACGACGAGGGCGGCGTCGGCGGCGGCGGCGGCGGCGACGACGACGACGACGACGGCTGCGACGGCGAGCCTGACCGGCCAGGGCCCCCGCAGCAGCCGGTGCAGCGGGCTGCCCGCGCGGCGCAGCCCGACCAGCGCACGGCCCCCCCGGCGCCGTCCCTGCCGGGCGGAGGGTGGAGCCTCCAGGGTCGGGTAGGAGGAGGATCCAAGATCCTGGACCGGGGAGGAGCAGGAGGAGGACGGGAAGAGGAGGAGGAGGAGGAGGAGGAGGAGGAGGAGGAGGAGGAGACGGAGGAGACGGAGGAGGAAGAGGTCAGCTTGGAGGAGGAGGAGGAGGAGGAGGAGGAGGATCCAAGGTCTTGGATCGAGGAGGAGCAGGAGGAGCAGGGAAGAGAAGGATGATGATGAGGATGATGATGATGATGATGATGATGATGATGATGATGATGATGATGATGATGATGATGATGATGATGATGATGATGATGATGATGATGATGATGATGATGATGATGATGATGATGATGATGATGATGATGATGATGATGATGATGATGATGATGATGAGAGGAGGAGGAGGAGGAGGAGGAGGAGGAGGAGGAGCAGGAGGAGGAGGAGGAGGAGGAGGAGGAGGAGGAAGAGGAAGAGGAAGAGGAGGAGGATGGATCTCCGATGTGTTTATGCGTCCGTCGTCCTCCTTGGGCCTCCAGGAGCCTCCTGGCTCCACAGTCGATTTCGCTTGCAACTTGTTCCCACAACGACCCCTGCGAGAGGTCCGGTGATCGAGTCGATGATCGAGTTTTGAGATGAGGAGCGGAGGGGAATGAGGAGGAAGAGTGTGTGTGTGTGCGTGCGCGTGTAACGGCAACGCTCTGCCGCGTCAGCGCGCGAAGGTGCACCGTTATGTCCAGCCTCGGCATAATAGAGTTCAGCGTGATTTCGAACAGTACATATGTATTCGGTATATACACACAGACAACGACGCACCGGGCCTGGGGGCCCGGGGGCCGCGGCCCCGACCGCAAATGTGTTTCCCGAGGCCCGGGCAGTGCCTGGGAGCGCCTTTGAGCCGCCCCAGATCGTCAGGGAACGTCATCAGAGGCCCATCCAGGCGGCCCGCGACAGCTCGGAGCCACCCCCAGGACTGCCTCTAGGGTTTTCTCACGGTCACCACGAGCCTGAAGACGCCTCCAGGGACTCTCAGGACAGCCCCGGAGACCTCCAGGAGACCCTCCGGAACGCATCCGAGAAGCCCAAAACTTGCAATAACCCTATGGAAATGTATGATTTTGGCCTTCTCGTCTTTCGACCTCCGCTGGGCTGTTCACGCGTCCAAATCGCCCCCAAGAGGCCACCAGTAGGCCCAGAGACGGCCCCAAAAAGGTCCCAAGGGGCCCCAAGAAGCCCCAAGAAGCCACCAAGAGGTCCCCCAGGACGCCCCAAAAGGCCTCCAAGAGGCCCCCAAGAGGCTCCCAGGCCTGAGGCCCCACAAACGTCCCCCGAGGCCTCCAAGAACCCCCAATAGGTTTCAGGGACGCTTCCAATAGTCTCCAAGAGGCCACAAGTGACCCCAAGAGGTCCGAAGAGGCCCTCCTCCTCCTTCTCCTCTTCCTCCTCCTCCTCCGCCTCCTCCGCAGAGTACTCTTCTTCCTCTTCTTCCTCCCCTTCGCCCTTCTCCTCGAACCCCCATCCTCGAGCTTCGCCCCCCCCACCCCCAGGCCGGGCCCGCCCCCCGCGCGCGCGTGGCGCTGCAGCGCTACTCGCTGAAGAGCCGCCGAGCCGCGCCCTACCCCGTGCCCTGCCTGCCAAAGAGCGCCGAGTCGTTGAGCCGGGGCGCGCAGGTGCCGCAGGCGCGGCTTGGGGCGTGGGGGATCCTCGTCGTCGTCGTCGTCCTCCTCCTCCTCCTCCTCCATTTCCTCCCCCTCCTCGACCTCCTCCTCCTCGTCCTCCTCCAACACCTCCTTCTCCACCACCGCCTCTTCCTCGTCCTCGTCGTCGTCCTCCTCCTCCTCCTTCTCCTCCTCCTCCTCGTCTCTTCGCCAAGGGCCTGGCGCCGCCGGATCGCCGCAGGCTGTGCAGTTCCGCGCGCGCGGCATCTTGTGGCACAGGCACTCGGCTGCGACGCCAGGCTGGGCCTCAGGCGGCGTGCTGAAGGCGGTACGGAATTTCTCCGAGCTGGTTCGGTTTCCTCCCGTCTTGTGAGCCAAATTCGCCTCGCTTGCGCCCCAGCGCCGCAGCACCGCTTCTTGGACCCAGGTTTGCGCTGACGAGGTCGTGGAGCTGGGCGAGGAGGCAGGCGAGCGATTCGGTCGTGGGCTCTTCCCTGAGGCCACCCAGATGTGGCTACGATCAGGGCGACTCCCACGAGATGAGGCAGATCAAGTTGCCGCCCACCGGCGTCTCCACTGGCACCATACTCGTGGATGGTTCCGAAATCCGCACTGATGAGTAGGCGTTGCGGAGGGCTGGCTGGTCGATCGTCATGGTGGGTGCGAAGGGGGGGCTCCTCGAAACCGTCTGCTGCGTGGTCCCATCGAGTTGGCCCCGCTGCAGCAGGTGAGGCACGGCAAGAACTTCGCGTTCCACGGAATGGCGCGCCCCTACATGGGCCCACAGCACTTTTATTGCGATTACAAGGGCACGATCGCGCGCGCGTGGGACAAGACGAAGTCAGTGGCGGCTTCGAACAAGTCGGGGCACGTGTGGCATGAAAAGGAGCAGACCGAGTTGGCCAACTTCCTGTGCACAAGGTCCGCGCACGCAGTTCGGTGGCAGAGAGCGACTGGCCGCAGGAGGTCAGGATGAACAAGGACAGCGACCTGGCGGACAAGTCCGCCAAGCAAGAGGCGGCGCTGTGGAAAGTGCACCCCGTCTGGGCGCGCCGCGCCAAGGGTGCGCGCACGCTGACGAAGGACGTGACCACGTGGGTCGCGACGTCGACGGCCCATCGTCAGGGTCTCGAGGGCAGCGACGCGGAGGGGAACCCAGCCAGCGGGCTCGTGGAGGCGCGGTTGCCGATGGCGAAGCCGAGCCCCATGCGCGGTGGTCGCAAATCGGGGGATCTTGTCGTGTTCTGCTTCATGCTGGCCCCATGGTCTGCCACCGACCCGCCTGCAGCGCAATCCATTATTCAATGTGCTACTGATTTGTATGTTTCGGTTGTGCCTCCACGCCGCCACCTGCCACAATTTTCCTCGCCAGTGCGCCGTCCGAGCGCGGCTTCTGCCAGTCTGTCAGTGGCCCCCCCCCCTCAACCTGCTGGAGCTGCTGGAGGAGGCGCCTGAGCAGCAGCGGGCCACAGGCTGCTGCAGCTCGGCGCCGAGGCCCCCCCCCTCAACCTGCTGGAGCTGCTGGAGGCGGCGCCCGA